TAGTGCGATACGGGATTAATATTCCTTAACACATTGACGACCGCGCGCGTTTTGGCTTTTTTGGCCGTGTGGGACCGGGCCGATTTTGCGAGTGCGACCGCCGCACCTCGGATCCGTGAATTTTTATTGATAACTTTTTAAAGCACCAGTGGTACAAAAACATCTCAGTAACAGTCAATGCGTAGAAGGTAATAGAGTATATAGTGACGAAGTTCCGATTAAAGAACATGTAATGGTAATGAAAAAGGAAATTTTAGTCATTTTATCTGTAGTGGATGCCAAAAGCTCTTTTGATGTGGTTATACCAAGTGAAACATGTATTTTTCTGTCTCTTTAGATTTGCATTTACTTTCACTACCCTTTTTTATTGACGTGTTCATGAGAATAGCATGAAAACTATTAATGAACCAAGCCGCCGGTTTCGGTGAGCTTGGAAAACTTCTTCTAAACTGGAGCATATTTGAACAAACAATGACCTATGTCGTTCACAATAATGTTATGTTCTAATCCATAGAAGAGAGACAAACAATTCGGGAAAAAGCTGCGCATGCCCTAGAAAAAGGGATGATAAGGGTGAGACGCGGTAACGCGTCTCAATGTCCAACGAGGTGCGCAAAGTGAGACGCGTTACCGCGTCTCAATGTCGTCAATGTGTTAACACCTCAGCTGATGAATCAGATGAAAAAGATACCATTTCGCGAAGCTGTGATAAGTTGAGATCCCTAGATATGTAGTCAAGCAACCACAAGAGAGATTGAAATTCAGGCTGATTTCGGAGGCGGAAGTACTTCTGGAAAAGCATTTACACATTGAATTTTCCCAGTGGTACTGGTTCACGGACGGCTCACATACCCTTTCTCGTAGACCATTCACTCCTCGTATGAGAGGTGAAGCTCATAGCCCAAAGATGTAGACATAGCAGTGCAATTGCACTTTGAAGTCTTGAGTCCAGGAGAAACTGCAATCATTCGTAAGAAACATGCAGAAATCCCAAACCATAAGAAATGCAAGATTCCAAAACCGTGTTCATAGTTCGCGACTTTGGACGTTGCGATAGCAGGCGACAATGAAGAAAATACTTTCGACCGTCCATAGTGTGGCATTCGCAAAATTGCCTTCTTTCGTAATCGAATCCTTCGGTAACTTTGATATGCTGAATGCTGTGTCTGGCAACTGACGTAATAATGTTGGGAAAGAATGCAAGAATGCAAAGGGAAGGATTGCATTTCTGGCGTGGACGAATAGCGGTCAACAAGCAAGAATAAGTAAAGTAATATCCTGCAGTCCCAATCCCATCGTCTACCATCTAAGAGGAAGAATTCACGACGAAGTTCAAAGAAGGGGAAATTGCATAGTTGGGAGACAGGCGGACCTCCTGAGGTGCTGACCGACGCGGCAGCGAAAGATTTGACCTCGGCGATCTAGCATGGCTCACTCTTGGCGCGGTTGGCGGGGTACGCCCACCGACTATCTAATCACTCGCCGCAGGTCTATACGTGGCGAGTGATTAGATAGCAGAGAGCGTAGTGTTGAAGAGGGCACAGCGATGAGAGTCGCATCAATGCGCAAATCAACGGGCAAGGAAGGGGTCCCATTTCTCGGGTTCGGGCCGTTTCAAATGGTTTCTTCTTCATCCCTGCTCCTGACCACCTCTACCCTTATTTCCAATGAGCTAACTTTTCATCGTAATTCTGCCTTTAATCTCGTACGTCGGGAACTGTGAATGCGGCCTAACGCACAAGTATTTAATAACGCTTTTCTACAAGAATAACTCACCATTTCTGATAAACTTCTCGCCCTTGTTGAACCTCTCACGATGAGAAACATCTGGTATAGAACTAATGTTGAAGTAATGAAGTACCTCAAATGAAGACATTCTCAAAAAGAATTTCTTTCTTAGCGAAGCAGATTAGGAGCCTGGCTACCTCCATCCTTTAAAGGAATCTTGCGCGGAAAAATCATGATTCTTTCCTAACATGAATATGTCAGTTGTGATCACTGGAAATAGCACACAAAGTTTCACGCATGAAGATTCGG